TTCCGCGAGCGCCTGGGCGTCGCGTCCTGGGAGAGCGCCCCAGTGAAGGTTGGGCTCGTCGCCCTCTGTGCTGGCCCGGGTCCGACGGCAGCGGTGGCGCTGCAGGACCTGCCGGCATGGGTGGGGGGGGGGCTCAGACGTCCGACGACCTCATTGTTTCAATCCTGGTGTTTTTCCTCGACTTCGGCTTCCGGAGGCCCTCCTCGGGCCCCCAGGACCATCACAAGCGGATCAGGGGCGACAGACTACCTTCAGGGAAGGGGTCGAGAGCTCGGGGACCGCGGACTGAAGAAATCATACCCTCGGATGTCCGGGGAGCGGGGTGATCGAACGGACGGTGTTTGGCCTACAACGTTCTGGTTGTGGTTGTGGTCGATTTGGCCGTTTGAGACGCCCACATCGACCACAACCAGTACTGAGCTTGTTTCGGTGTTCTGACGACCGTTGGCATTCGCACAGCATGCCCTAGGGCGCGTTCTTGATGTGGTTGTGGACGCTTGCTCCGCATTCTCCATCGTCACCGCTGCCGCCGCCGTCATCACCCTCCCAGGCTGACCCCTGGCTGCTTCCTGCCCGACACCGCGGGGCACGCGGCTTCAATGCAGCCCTGGTGGCACAAGGCAATCATCGAAGGGTGGTAACTGCCGGAGGCCGAGTTTCGGTCGCGACCGGATCGTCCAGAGCGTTACTGGTAATGGATGATGTGGACTGGGGGCCTCTCGGGGGGTCTGCTGGCGTTCCGCCTTGCACTTCAGGCCCCCTTCCGTGATCGGTTGCGACGGGGGAGACCCTGTTGGCTGGCGAGGAAGGCTGAGGCCCCACTTCTCCACAGCATGAGGAGTCGAGACCGCGCGTGGGCTACCTTGGCGCTGCCTTCGCTTTCGCTGGCCACAATAGCAGGGATCGCCGCTCGAGTCGTCTTTGCCCAGCTGCCGGATCTGCCCAGCTCGGCCGCGTGATTTGCCCGTGATGAGCGCATTAGCCGCTGTGGTTCGGGCCCGTTGCCAGATAATGTTGGGAGGCGTCGAAGAGGGAAGTGTGGCGGAGTTTGTTTTTTGCAGTCGCCCATGTCGGCGCGGACATTGACATTTTGGGGTCCTGGGCCGCCGCCGCGTCGCGGGAAAAAAAGACTTGCGTTTGACTTCGAGGAGGGATGTAGAAGGAGAGGACATCATGGCCGGAGCAGGACGATCTCCCAGATGTTATGACTCCGTCTCCTTCTTTCATCTGTGCCTTGCCCCACCCCTCCCGTCGTCCGCGCACGTGCCTCGGGCCGTGCTGCGTGACTTCCCCTCTTCCTGCCCTCTTCGGTGCACCCGATATATTGTACGTTGTCGGGGGGCGAAAGGACCGAGCAGTGGCGAAGCATCTTGGCCTTCCTACAGGCCCACCAGACAATGTTCTAAGAACCTATGATGGTCTGCACGAAATGTTATTCGAATAGTTCTGGCTGGGACCGTCTTGTTTTAGCACATTTTTGTTACAAGAACAATTTGGGGGGTTAAGAAGATTTCGTGGTAGGCCTATAGGAATGCCGGGGCGGCTGGTCCCTGCTCAAAGCAAGGAAGAGCCTTCAATCAGGATGCCGCTGGAGTGCCATGCCCGCAGAAGGAGGCGGGAGAGGGGAGGGGGATGAGGGAAGGTGGAGGGGCAGAGAGAGGGGGAGGGGGAGAGGGGAGGGTGAGCGAGTGAGGACAGTCGCGATGCGAGCCGAAGCGAACCTATGAGCGCACGAGGGATTATCTCGGCCTTGCTTAAAGCCTTCGGCCATCGATCCACGATTGTCTCCCAACGGGGCACTTCATTCAGTGAAAATGACCCTTGTAGGGACCTGTGAAGAAAGGGAACTTGGAGTGAGGCGTTTCAGCAACATCGTTGATGCTCTTGGGTTCGCACTGGTCCTTGCTCTCCTCCTCCTCCTCCTCCTCGTCCTCCTCCATCCTCCTCCCTCCTCCTCCTCCTCCTCCTCCTCCTCCTCCTCCTCCTCCTCCTCCTCCTCCTCCTCCTCTCCTCTTCATTTCCTCTTCATCCCTGTGATCACACAGAGCAGCTCTTTCCATCTAAGGCCGCGCAGGCCCAGGACCCCGCGAAAGATTGGTGGCAGTCGTGAACTCTACGTGCCTCTATAAATGCTGATTTATTTTTTACCTTCTCATCATCCCTCCTCCTCATCATCCCTCCTCCTCCTCCTCCTCCTCCTCCTCCTCCTCCTCCTCCTCCTCCCTCTCTCCTCTCCTCCTCCTCCTCCTCCTCCTCCTCCTCCTCCTCCTCCTCCTCCTCCTCCTCCTCCTCCTCCTCCTCCTCCTCCTCCTCCTCTCTCTCTCCTCCTCCTCCTCCTCCTCCTCCTCCTCTTGCTCCTCCTCCTCCTCCTGCTCCTCCTCCTCCTCCTCCTCCTCCTCCTCCTTCCTCTCCTCCTCCTCTGCCTCCCGCTGGCTCTCAGCAGAACGTGCCTCCCGCGCCCGCCCCCGCAGCCACCTTGGCCCGAGCCGCCCTGGCACAGCTTCTCTCTGGGCCCCGCCGCCCTGCTTCGCGCCCCGCCCGCCGCCCCGCTTTCGTCGCCCCTGGGGGCATGCCGAAGGTCGAGGAGATCGTGGAGGACGAGGCGAAGGTCGCCGATCGGAGGATGCCAATCGGCTTCGAGCGGGGGGTGGAAGCGAGGAGGGGGGGGCCCCCTCAGCAGGCGGCGCGGGACTTCTCAGAAGACTTCGCGCGTTCGGAGAAGCTGTTGGTGTCTTCGGGGAAGGCTCAGAACACTTCTCAGAAGTCTGGGGCTTTCCGAGCCCTCTTAGAAGGCCCGCCCCTTCTGATTTCGCCCCCGGGCGCGCCGCTTAGCTAACCCAGACTTTCTGCGCCTCGAAAAAACGTGGAGACGAAGCTTATTCATCCGTTTCGGCCGCTCGGGGCCCTTGCCGGCCCTTGGGGTCGTCGAGGAACGACTCGGAACGAAGAGCCGGTCCCGGGGAAGTGGTGGAGACGTCGGGGGGGGGGGCGTGTCTCGAAATCGTCGAGACGATGGATGTCTGGGAAGTCCACACTGGATAAGACCGCACGGAGTGCTCGGTCTCCGCCTGGGCTTACTCCGTCCGGACTCAGCATCTCTTCTTCATCGGGTGCGAAGTCTGTGCGGAGGAAGTCAGCACGGAGTGCTCGGTCTCCGTCTGGACTTGCTTCGTCAAGGCTCAGCCCCTCACGGTTCGACAGCAGCGCATAAGCACACACATTTTCGATGGTCCGCGCGGATGTTTTGGATCGGCGTTGGGCCCGCCTCCCTGGCGCGCTCGGGCGCCGCCTCTCGCGCGCTCCGCCCGCCAGGGAGGGGGGTCCAGCGCAGATCCACGAACTCCGCGCGGACCTCGGAAAAGCTTCTGTTTGTGCAGTTTGTTGCATCTCTAGGTCGAGGACGAGGGGGACGACGACGAGGAAGACTCGGACGACGAGGTCCCCAACCTGGAGGGAGCGGACGGGGCGGGGGGCGAGCGCGGCAAGCAGAACAGGTGGGCCACGCGCAGAGGGGGGTGAGGGGGAGGAGGGAAGGCTTCTCAGAAGCACCGCTGCTTCTTAGAAGGCGCAGGCTTTATTCATAGATGTGAGGCCAGCGCCTTCTAAGAAGTAGCCTCCTTCTCAGAAGCCTTCCCCTCTTCTACTACCCCCCTGTGCGCACGGCCAAACAGGGCGGAGAAGAAGAGCCGCAAGGCCGTGTCGAAGCTCGGAATGAAGCCGCTCGAGGGCATCGTCCGCGTCACGGTCAAGAAGTCGAAGAACATCCTCTTCGTCATCTCCAAGCCGGACGTCCACAAGGTTCAGGGGCAACGTTAGGGGGGGATTAGGCTCAGGGGGGGATGCATCGACTCCCAGCCGCGCAATGATCGCTGCAGGGGCCTGTAGCCCGCCCCGCCCAGGACGGTGCGGATTCGCTAGCGGGGGCATGTCGCTGATCTACCAGCGGTGCATCGCCGATTACAACTCGACGTCTCCCCCCCTGAGCCGGTCCCCAAACATTTCCCCTCCAAGCCTCTTTCCGGGCTGGTCGGTCCGGTCCCCGGCGTTGCGGTCTGGTCAGGACGGTCCGGGCTGGTCGGACGTCTGCGAAATGTCAGCATCGCGGTTCCAGGCCAGTTTGGCCCCGTGTCCTGTGAGCCCCAGGGGGAGTGCCTTTAAGAGAGCGTTCACGCGTAGCGGGGCTGCGGCAATGCCGGGCCTGTCGGGCCGGGCTTGTCGGTTCCGCGGCGGCGCCGGGCCGGGCGGTCCAGTTCTCGCACTCGGGACCGTCCGTTTTCGGGTCGGCCCCGGACCGAGCAGAGGCTCGCCCCTCAAAGGCGGCGAACTCGGACACCTACGTGATCTTCGGCGAGGCCAAGATCGAGGACCTCACCGCGCAGCAGCAGGCCTCCGCCGCGCAGCAGTTTGCCCGGGGTGTGCCGGAGGCCGCGGCCGTGGCGGCCGCAGGAGGGGGCGATGCCAAGGCCGACGAGGCCGAGGATCGAAGCAGAGCCGGCCGCGACGACATAAGCTTAAGTCGGGCCTGTTCCTCTACAGGAGAAATATTCAAAAATAGTTTAAAAATAGTCTGGGGACTATTTTTTGATTATTTTTTGGCCATTTCGGAGTAATTTGTAATTTTTCGTCGAAAATCCCCGTGTAGGGGGACACGCCCGATTTAAACATGAACACATAAGCATTCGGCCTTCCGCGCGGGGTTCTTGGGCCGGAGCTGGGCCCTGGCGGCGTCTCTGGCGCCGCCCCTGACGTGCTCCTCGCGCCAAGAGGGGAGGGGGCCAGCGCGGACCCAAGAACTCCGCGCGGACCTGCGAGAGTGTAGCTTTTGATGCCGCTTGCCGTTCCTTCTGGAGGAGGGCGAGGTTGACGACAGCGGCATCGAGCCGAAGGACATCGAGCTGGTCATGTCGCAGGTCCAGTGCTCCAGGGCGAAGGCGGTGACCGCACTGAAGGCCAACAACAACGACATCGTCGAGGCGATCATGCAGCTCTCCTCCAGCTGA